ATCTATGAAATCTAATTTTTAACGTTCTTTATCGCTCCTCTTGAAACAGCTCGTACTTTTCAACAGAGGCACAAACTGAAACGACTATTTTTTCAATTAATAAGTGGTAGTCCAAGCTTTTCTTTTAATCAAGTAAGAACACTCTAACTACACAAACAGCTTAGCTACACGTATCACAAGCAGATGTATTTTTTGCGACAGTGGACTCAAATAAATTATACAAAATACCATACATTTTTTTACCTTCAAAATTGTAGCAAATAGCTTCGGACAATCGTTGTTAATGTTGTTTGAGGTATGACAACTATGGAAAATAATTTTTTCAATTAACTTTTTTCGTTAAGAGTCTTCAAGGCATTTTGAGCCGCTTTCGCAAAATTACCAATCTGCTTCATAAAATTTTTTTAAACTAGTGGGTTTTATAACTTTCCCTAAATTAACTACGCAATTATCTTAGTTATATTACGAAGGAAGTAATGAGAACTTGGTTGGCACCTTTACAATACAGCAGTTGGTATTATGTAAGGAACTTTCAAACGGATCATTTGTTTTATTTACTCAGTTATTAGTTTTTATTAGAGTATACAATAAAATAAATGAAAGAGTATCAAACAATGTAATAGTAATTGGAGATTAATCTAATTATCTCCTTTAAACCTGGAACAAATCTTCTTATTATAAATATGGCTTCAAGTCTAAAAATCATTACGAACAATAACTTATCACCAAACTCTTAAGTAAAGCATCTTACAACAATTTATCCGTGGTATAAGAGATTTTATTTTACATATAGGAACTTTCTCAGTTCATGACAGGTAGTAAGAATTTTACAATGCAATATAAACAACATCCAAAGAATTATTAATCAATTTAAGTTTTCAGAAATATATATACTTAATTTAATACCAGAATCATTTTTTCAAATATTCTGTAACTTCGTATCACTTGGTTCTTTTTTAAACAGCAGTAATAGACCAGTTCTTGTTACTTAAAGTTTTGTATAACTTTAGTTACAGAATTACTTTGTCGTGTCCCGTTGAGGATAGTAATAAAAAAACAAGCCGTAACATTTATTATATTTTTTTTTTCTTTTAAAACAGTTAAGTAAATTGTTACATCTATATTTAACGGTGTACTGCCACAGTAGTTTCTAAAAGTTGTACAAGCAGTTAAATTTGTGTTAAGTAACAATTTTTTTCAATGAAGCCAATCTAGAGCCTAATCAAGATATATTCATTTTGTTTGTAAGCACTATTTACTGGTCATCAGTACAAGTAACTACTGTATCGTCGGCAAATGAGAATACAGAGCCCTTTGGCATATATATTAGATCGTTCAAATGTGAAATAAATCATAATCGGCCTGGGATAGTACTTTCAGTAACTCCAATTAAATATATACAGATTTGACTAATCACACGACTAATTCTAACTTTCTGAACTCTGTTGCTTAGGTAGCTTTTAATAACGCAGAATAAATTACCTAAAATACTAGAGTAATCTATCTTTTTCTAAAGAATAAAGTGGTTGAATGTATTTAAAGCTTTACTATGTCCATAACACTAATTACTATCGGCTTACTTCAGTCTAACTTTTCATATAATATTTTAGTCACATTACCAAGTGTATCCCTTGTACCTTTATTCTTGGTGAATCCAAATTAGTTGTCTGATTTTATGTCTTTTTTTATTCAAGAAGGTAAAAATCATATTGTGTAAGATTCTTTTGAATTAATTGACTGTATTTTATGTAATACTCATTAGTCACTAGTTCGAATTTTTTTTTTTTACCAGCCATATTTATAAAAAGATTAAGTAAAAACTATTTTCTAAATAGTTCCATTTTCATTCATCTATATTGAGTCAAAAAAAATTTTGTTTACTAGCAGTGTGTCTTTGATTTAGAGTTCAAAAATTCTCGTGAATCTTGTAAAAAATTTTTTATTTACTATGGAGCTATTTTACGTGAAGTTATGAAATATAAACAAAGTGCGGTAACTAATGAGTGACAGTAGATGTTACACTTAGTTAAAGCTTCACTATTTATTCATAAAAAGTATCTTCTTTCGCTAAAGAATATTACTTTCTACAGGACTAAAAACTCCTTGATATAAAAATTAATTTATAAAGCAAATATAAAAGTATGTAAAATGTTGTGTGTACATGCAGTCTTTCTTTTAATTTTTATCTTACTACTGTTAAATTATAAATACATTTGTTATAACTATGATTGTTATTATTTTATGAGCACAATTATAATGATGACTATAATTATTTATTGTTATACATAATACTTTTTGTTAGTATTATAATCGTTATTATTATAATTATTATTGTTCTTATTCTTTTTATAGTTATCATTAATCTTATTATGATAACTACTTCAATTTTTCTTATTCAGTTAATTATTAAGTATATTATTAAGTTGATTTAGAATACTTCATGGCAGGATGGAAGAGGGTACAAAACTTTTTTCTGTGTGAGACTCACAGTTTGCCTAAAGATGTCTTTTCTCACTCTGAAATTTCTAGCAATGCACACTTATTACCAACTAAACAAGCTGAGCCTATCTCCTGGGATACCCAGCTTGAAACTCCCTTTCTCACTAAATGTTTAATTGATGGTCACAGAGTGCTCACCGTTGGTGTGGGTTTTCATGTAAGTGTAGTAACTATTATAATATGGCCTTTTTCGTGGAATTGTCCTCTGTTTAATGGGTAAATTAATTCTTATTGCTTTTCTTAGCTAACAACTAAGGTATGTTAGTGTAATTTGATTCTGCAATACTTTTTTTGTTTCTTCCATCATGGAGTTTTCTTCTACGTTGTCTTATAGGCATCTTACTTCTGGCCTCTAAAGTGCTTTTCTGCCTAGTTAGTAACCACTGCAACTCTCTCCAAGTTGTTCTTCTTGTGTTCCAGAAATTATACTGTGGTTACAATACACAAGTCGAGCGTATAGCTTCTGGTTCTTCTTGTCATAATTTTGGGCTTTACGTCTATATCAAAGACACCTAAAAGAAATCTCAGAAGTTTGACACATTTTCTATTTTTCAGCTAGTGGAACCCATTAGTAAGTGCCTTATTACTTCATTTTACTGGTCATCGATTTCTGAAATGTTTACCAAAGCTGTTTTTGGACCTTTAATGCTCGCTCTTAGCAGGGTCACTGTCTTTCTCTGTGAGAAATATCCGCAAATCTTTTTGAGCACGAGTTTAACGGCCTTTTTGCGTAGTGAATTAATGTAGGCTCTATATTGAAAGTTTTACCCTTCTTTAAGCCGTCGTTTTATACTAACCATAGCCACATGACATGCTACGATAGACTGCTGGGAGGGACTTCTTTGTCCTTTATTTCTTGATTCTTATAAAAAATATTACCTTTCTTGGTTGTAATAATTTTTTGACTGTGGTTTCAGTCTCGTTTGGCTTAAAATATATTTTTATCTTTGTTAGAACGACGGCAAAGCTCTGCCTCGTTCCAACTTTAACAATAATTTTTTTTTTTTTTTTACATCATCTTATTTGCCAGTCTCACTTCTGTCTACCATTACCTAAGAAAATAGTTTCTAACTCTCCCTAGCCTTTTTTTTTTTTTTAAAGTAAAATAAGGGTTTTTTAATGCTCAAAAACTTTTTCTCCACTTTCGTGCCAGTACTCTTATTATAAACCTGGATTTAATCGAAAGTGTGATTATCTTCATTTTCTTTTTTATCTATATTTTTTTTTTTGTTTTAATCAGCTTGTTTTAGAATTTTTTTCTACTTTACAGCTGTCTTCAAATTCACATAATGATAGAAAATCATTTTAATATTTTTTACCATTGGCACTGCTGTTTTTGTGTACATTTGTCATTGTTGCTTTAACCTAGCATCCCTTTTACAAAACGTTTTTACTGATCTATCTTTTTCATATTTTATCTATGACCGTAAGTATTTTATGGTTACGAGTAAAAGACAGCACTGTTTTTTTTCAATCAAACAAAAGTTTGGAATGGGTACAAGCCAGAGCAGCAGCTTTTCTGTGGTCAAGATGGTTGCCTCTTATTTCAGCTAACCCATAATTTATTACTTTTTCTTCATACCACAGCAAGATACTGCCATGGCTTTGTAAGAATATATGTTGTGTAAAAGATTAGGATTAAATGTGTTGTTTATGAAAGTTCACGATGAGTACTCTAAAAGAGGGCTTTTAGAGATATAAAATCTTAGTCGATCCTTGAGTCTCGCATTACTTACTATAGTGTTACCGTAAAATGTCCATAGAGGTAGTAAGCTCGTATTATTAAGCCCATCACATTTTTTCTAATATTTTCTTATGATACGTAAAGTCTTATTAAATATGAATGCTTAGCATTTTACAGGCATCATTGTCTACCTTGATCGTTGTTTTTCCCAAATCCTTGTAGTTTGAAGAAACATTGCACGCAGTCAACCCCAGAGGACAGATTGTGGGTGATCCTATGTAAGTGTAGTTTAAGTGTAAAATGTTTCTGAAGGCAATTTTGTTACTGTTGCTAACTAATACATGTAATAGTTAGGTGTACTTCTGGATTTGACAGTCCTCTCACGTGGCCAAGGCTGTAAGCACCACAATCCTTATTAATGTCTGGAATACCGAAAAGGGTGCATACCGTCAAAAAAAATGTGTATTAATGTTTGAAATACAAATTTTAGTATGATGTTAATTATTGCTATTATTTTTATTATTATTACTATTTTTATTATTATTACTATTATTATTATCATTATTATTATTCTCATCATTATAATCTTATCATTATCATTACAATTATTATCATTATTATTGTTATTATTATTATTATTATTTTTATTATTATTATTATTATTAATATTATTATGATTACTATCGTTTTACATATTATTTTTACCATCAGTATAATTATTTTTTTTCATTGTAATTGTTAGCATTAATATATATGTCACTAAAATTATATTTTCTGAAACATACTGTTGCCATTTAAACACACTATATACTTTCAGCTTGAGGTAAGAAGATTATGTGGTAACAGAATTATTGATGAAGGTGAACAATGCGACTGTGGTTCAATAGAAGAGTGTAAAAGTCTAGATCCATGCTGTGATGCTATAACTTGCAAGCTTACTAGAGAAGCTGAATGTGCATCTGGACCATGTTGTAAGAATTGCAAGGTACTTACTTAATTTTTAATGCTGCAAAGTTTAGTTGATAGCACTTTTTGTATTGATTAAATCAATGTATTAAATTTACGCAAGGTAAGTATGGACACAAGGAAAATTTTCTCAATAATACATCAGTTGTTGTTGAATAATAGATCTAATTATTTTCATGTAAATTTAGGTGTAAGTACAACAATTTTTCTCGTACAGAAAACGTTACTCAAGGATTATCTTCATCTTTCTTTCTTTAAGAACTGATAAAATACTTTCCCATAAAATACTTATCTTGAGAACTGCTTATCAGAGAAGTCGTGCTTGTTAAAAAGTTGCTACTTAATTATTATTATTTATCTCAAAATCTTTTGAACATTGATTATTTAGCTTTCCAATAGAAATCTGATGTCACGTCGTTAAATAACTTTTCCTGAACCCTTATTCAAAGTTTGCTTTACCTTTAACCTAGTTACTCTTATACTCTTACATATTAACTTATACATCTAATAAGTATTTACATAAATTTTTCTTCAAATTAACTATACAGGTGACAAATAAAAAGTATACATACATTTTCGTGAATCCGATTTAAAATTTTGGCATGATGATATTATTACTACTATCATCATAGTTACAATTAAATTTATTGTTTCTTTTAATTTTATTATGATAATAAGTATTATTATTTGTATTCTTCTTATATTTTCTTTATCCAAAATCTTTCAAACTGGTGATACAAACAACACAAGCAGGTGCAAATCCTTTACCTGCGTGGGACTCACAATTTTTCTAAAGATAATATTTCTTACAAAGATGCTTATAAGGATTTAGATTAAATATCCACTAAATTGTCATTTTTAGTTATTTCATAGGAAATGTCGGGAAAAATTAGACTTATTGCAATGTATCAAAAATCATAATACAGTCCCTTAGACGCGCAGCTCGAGACTTGCTTTTACACTAAACAAGCAAACTAAGTCTATGGAGTGTTTACCGTTGACGTAGACTTTAATCTAGATTTCTTTACGGTTGAAATGTTACCTTCTCTTCATTTCGTCTGGTCATCTTCTATTTATAGGGTGTCTTTATTGTGATTCATTCCTTTTGCTGTAGACTTGAGTAGATCAACACAGATTGGTTCTGAATCAAATGATTTACTTTTGTTCTTCTAAACTATATCTATGCCTTATTCGTACCTTACTTTTTTTATGGTTTTTCTAAGTGATTTATTAATATTTCTACCTGTTTGTGCTTGCCCCTTCTTCTTGCAATCTTCCTTCAGCTATTACATCAAAAACATAGCCTGACTTGTCACACTTATCATAAGATCTCTTTTTTTACAATCTTTTTTTTTACAATTACAGTAGCATCATTAAAAGCATAGCTTAAACAATAAATCTTTTTTGTTACAGTTTCAAGCTATCTGCCTACTTTTCAGGTACCAGTAGCATGTAAGAACTGCGACCCTCTTTTTGTCACATTTTAGTGATCCTAATTCTAATTAAAATTTGACAAGGGCTTGTTTATCCTTTTCTCTTATCATCTTACAAAAAATGCTTCTCTCCAATGACCAATTGGCAAAATGACCAATGCAAAGCTCTGCCCTTCGAAATTTTAACAGTACTTTTCCCCTTCTTACTGGCGTTTTTTTATTTGACACTCTTAGTGCCGTCTATTTTTAGAAATGAGCTCCTAGTTCTCTCTAGCCTTTCCTTCTTTTTTAAAAGTGGATAAAAAGTCCGTTTCAGAGCTCAACAGCTTCTGCTCCGTTCACCTGCCAGCCCAGCGTGATTTTTACAAACCTGCATTCAATGAAGCATGTCATGATCTTAATTTTTTCATGAGTACTTTTTTTGTACAAATATTACTACTATTTTTGTATTCTTGCTACTTTTGCTATGTATTTAACAACTAGTTTTAGTTATGCAAGAAAAAGATTATCCGCTTAGCAGTTAGCTCCAATATTGCTTCAGCAGCTCATTTAAATCTACCTCGAAATTATTGCTAAAGAAGCTAAGAGTGCTTATAATCCTACTGTACTCTCAGTGCCTAACAAAGTATTATAACCATTGCTGGACAATAATGTTAAGTCCCTTTGTAAGTGTTTTTGTTTTAGTTTGTCCTATATAGCCATCTCAATGAAAAACTATCAAAGGTAGGCAAAGCGTCGAAATTTGACTATGTTATCAAGCATGTGATCTTTATTTTTTTCCTAGGTCAGTATATCTCTGTTATAAGATTATTATTGGATATTTCTGAAATGTCTTTTATCCTTTTTTTTTTGTTTCCTAGCTGTCCTTAAACTTATGTAGTAGTTTTCTAAACTTTAACGACTTCTTTTGCCAGCATCGCTGTTTTTGTGTAGGTTGCTTCCACTGTATCTTTAATTATCAGTTCAAAACTTAAGAAATCATTTTTTTCAATCTGCTGTACTGTTTTTTTAAATTGTTTTCTGCCAGTAAATTTATAATGCAGCTTACTGTTATTGCTAAAGAAACTGACAGTACTAATGATTCATTTTCAGTGCGCAGCAGTCTGTCACGTCCGCAACTTGACCATAAAAAAATTACTATAGAATTTAGCACTCAAGAACTTGTGGTTTGCAATAGTAGCTAGTTAAGTAAAGTTTAAAGATCTTACTAAGGAATTTTGTTCTTACTTTTTAAACAACAGTATTGCTTTCTACGAAACTATTAAGTCAATAAGTACTGAAGGTTTACTCTGAAGCTCAGAAAGGCCACTAATCATCTTTATAAGGTTTTCTGTTATACCTTTGTATATAGTTATATCTTAGTATAAATATAGAAATCATTTGCTACTATTTTGGGTATTTGTAATTCGGAACTATATTTTTTTGATCTTTGTTGATGATTTGCTACAATGCCTTACACAGGCATGTAGTCTTTTAGCAAATTAATATTACACTCATTAGCTGTTTTATTCATCAAATATTGGGATGCATTTATTACTAATCCAGATGAGGTTACAAAGTATACATGATAAGACTTTAAAAAAAATAAAAGTAACCTACGAATTAACTTTTTGGATTAGTTATCATACTCATTTACAGCTTCCAGGATAATTAGCCAATGTCTATTGAACATAGTTATTTATTCACTTAAACTAAAAAAGGGAGGTATAAATGTGGTTGTTCTTAAGTTGATATCTTTTTTACGAAACTATGCTATTTTTTTCAATAGTTTTTTTTGTTCATACAATGGTAGTCAAACCAATAGAACATTTGCTAAAATTTTAGAGATTCTTTTTCCAATCCTATATGTTTTTGCAACATTTTAGGTTGATTAGAAAAATTTTTCTTTATGGTTAAATATTTTGAAGAGGGTTCTTTTCTTTTAAAATTTAAATCACATAAGGAATTTAAAGACAACTAATAGCAAAAGTAATACTCATTTGATTCTGATTCTTCTATGACAATGCATAAAGAGACAAGTACACGTTAATTGCATTGTTCTGGTCATCTATGATCCTTAATACGCCAAGGACTCTTACACAAAATTTTTGTATAATTTAAAATTACCGTTTGCACTGATCAAATTGCGTATAGTATTAATTTAAATATAATTTTCGCTTCCATACAATTATGGCAACCAACACATTATTTGTTCATAAGTTTTCTCAACTAAACAAATATTATCTTACAGAAATCTATAAGGATGACCATAATTATAAACAAGTTAACGACAATGGATATTGTGTTCATGCAAACTTATAATTAAAACTCATAAGCATTTGCTGACTTTAACTGTTAGCTATAACCTTGCATTGGAATTAAGGGTGGAACCGTATCTGCATCTATGGAGATCTTAATAGTTTTTTTACATATTTCAGGATATCTGTTCTTGTAGAACAAACAATATATCCAGTGCTAAAGCTTTAAGGAATATATAGAACGTCAATGTTATTTACGGTTTATCGTATTTTTCTGACATTTCCAGTTCATGTTTCACACCTTTTTGTCAACAACTTACGATGGCAAAATTACTTAACAAACTTTCGTTTACTTTAAAATCTGTTAAACTCTATACAGTGCTTTATAAAATATCTAATGAGTTATAAGAAACGAAATTTTATTCATATCTAACAGTAGCCATAACTATTTATAATAACGTATCTGAAATGTATAGGCGAAGCTTCAATAGCTGCAAGGCCGCACGTCTATTCGCCTTTGGAGTAGATACAAAATTAAAAACTGTCGCTGCCTTGCCGTACAACATTATGCTCTGCTATCACTCCTACTCTTTCTACCACTGGCGATATTTTGGCAAGCCAAGAGACCATGCACTCGATACCAAACGATTACCATACGCACGTATACACTCTCTCTCTTCCCGCAACACAACACGGACGCAAGTTAATCGGGAAAAAGTAAACATACACACACATCCCAGGAGAAGACATTATTTCAAGCAACCGATGGAAAATCAGTCAAAATCTCACTTACTTGATTTGCCACAAAAATCGGCCAATGTAAATAGTATCCCCTGAGCCAATCCAAAACCACTTGAGAATCTGGCCAAAAACGCATTTTTAAAGGCTGACCCTCTAAATACTGAATAACGAACCCAACTAACCGAACGAGAAGAACGGCTCCACAAATCTCAAGTCAAGAGAGGGATTGTATCTTGACTGGATCAACCCTAGACTTTGCCATAATCAAAGTTAATTGACTGTTAGAATTTACAGAATATATTACAGCACAATATTCTCTTTGAAACGCTTCGCAAAAGCCATGGAGACTCCAGTCATCAGACACCGAAACTACCAGTGGACAAGTAATCCTAATCATGCTTAACAAAGTTAGCGAAGAACGAAAACTTCACCAGCGAGACCTAACCTCACCAGTAAGCTTCTCATCCCAATCCAGCTTTTTTAACCATAAGTCCTGCGTGAGAATCTTTAGAACGATGATCACAGGAGCTAGAAATCCAAGAGGATTTTTACTATTGGGCCATTTCAGACAAAACGTCTCTCTTAGTCACCTGTATCGATGATTTGGG